GACTGATATCCACACCTATAATGCTGCTTGTCAATATTCGGTTTGCCTACATTATCAGTTTTGTTTCTGTGTTTTTTTGTGCATTCTAATGAATTTGGTCTGCTGGAGTGCACTCAAAATGAGTGTAAAACTACTTCCAACATCAGCTTTTCAAATTCCAGTCTGTTAGATTTACATTAGATTTGAGGTTCTCTTTGTCAATCACCAGAAGTCGCTAAAGTCTGTAGACTGGATATTGTTTAAGGACAGCGAATTGGTGGATATCGGTTGTGTGTTATCAGTTGGTACAGGACAGTGTCCATCGAGTGAAGTGGGTTCGTCAAAATTCGCATTTGGAACACCGGGAAGTATCAATGAGGGGATATCGATGATCCGCGACTTAATGAATCTTAAAAATATTCTCATCGAACAGGTTTGCGTACAGATGTGTTCATGCTTTAATTTACGAATTGCAATGACGTATATAGAGCATATAACAAGTTTTCACGCTTCAATTATTTGTATCACTCAGAACTTTTAGTACAATTTGAGTTTTATGCAAAATGATGTGCAGTTTCTGGATGTGGAATGAAGCGTTCAATTAAAGAAGCAAAGCGATTATCACAGGGGTTGAATTGAAAGGATGATTGTTCAGTAATTAAGATTGTTCAATAACTGAAAGGATGATTGTTCAATAATAATTGCAGATAACCTCATCGGGTGGTGAATGTGTGAAACGAGCGCGGTCATGGGCGCATGATCAGAAGATAGCATTCTTCCGACTCTCACCACCGCTATCGAAAGCCGTCGAATTAGACGAATCTGACAATGAAGTTATCGTTGATTTTCTTTGGGACACTGAGGTTTGTTCATTGCCATTATTATGCGCCAATCAGTGTTCTTCGCTTATCTCGATGGTTATTTTCATTTGTAAATATGATCGAAAGAAGAATTTTCTCTTTCAACGAACATATAATAAACTCGTCAAAGATATTAATTTTCTGCTTTCCAATAATTCCTATTCTTCTTAAAATTTAGAAATATCTTAACACGAGCGGGCGTGGGCAAGTTCAGACGTTAGTCGCATATCTGAGATGTCTGCAGTCATGACCGACGAACGAGTGCGCCAAGTTTAATTTTTATTCGTCTTCCAAACGTCACCTGCAGTCCTAATGTACTGTTTCATAGCCAAGGAGTGATGTAAGCATAAAATGTGATTCGTTCAACCAGTATTCGTTCAACCAATGATGTAACCAGTATTCAGTTGTGATTTCTTACAGCTCACCCTTTAATACTTCCGTCGTTCTTTTGATATAACTTCAATTGTAAATCACAGCCCTTTACATGCTCAATAAAAACAAAAAAAAACATTGAATACCCTATTTCGTAAGATATTTTTTCATTAATTCTTCCACTGAATTCGTTGCATGCTCATTAATCGATATTATTTGTTAGAATGTGAGTTCTAGATCTACCGTATTGATTCTCACAAAAGCTTTCTTAGGAATGTATCCAAAGCATAGATCGATGAGATACGGCCCGCATAATTTATTAGAACACGATCAAACGCGACTGACACGCAAAATGACTTTACGCAATAATAATTATTGTATAACAAATAAATTACGCAATAATAATGATAACAATAATAATAACTGCATAACAAGCAAATGACACAAAAAGAATGGCCCGAAACGACGAGATGACTGACGTCTNTCTTTCCTATATGGCAGAATGTACCACAAAAACTCGAGAGAACGCTAATAATTTTTGAGACATGTAAATAAAATAAACATGAAACTGCTTAAATGCTATTATAAAGGAATGAATGCAACGGTTACACATTTGTAATACTTCATAAATGTTTTAAATTCAAACATCTTTGGCGCTTGTGTTGAATATGTTACGGGCGATATCCGCTGTCAAACGGTTTACATGCCAAAACTGAGGAAAGATGAAATTAAGTAGCCAATTACGTCCGAATACGAGTTGTAACCTTAAATGCTAAATTATTTCAAATACGCACTCTATCTGGCTCTTCCTTTTCAGGTTTATCTAATACAATTTTCTGAAAGCAACTGAGTTGATTGTATTTCAGCAACTAATCCATCATGGATATCGATGCGATAAATTCACTCAAATATGGTAACGACTGGCACAGTCAAAGAAACAAAGCTTGGCGCAAATTCTGAATAAAAATTATGGCTGCAGTAAATAAGAAGACAAAAATTTCCACAAGAAATGCGAATGGAACCTTTCAGTGTATGTGTTACCATCACCTTTCAGTTCGATACGACGACGTAATGTGTTATAATCATACATCGTATAACCATTTAACGTGAAAAACATCTGAAAACCAATCTGCTAAGAATAAANACAGAATGAACTGCTCAAAGTAAATAATTGAATAAATCGGAACCAAGCTGACCCTTGCATCCATTAGGCTCACCCAAACTTTGTCAAAGCCACCCGAAAAATTTTATTGCGACTCATTAATTTCATATTTAGAATTTGAATGAATGAAGGTGTGAGTAGAATCAACACTGAGAGCAATAATGAAAAGAGACAAAACCTGTGAAAAGAAGAAGATAAAAGCTGCAACGGAAGTGCTCACAGAAATGCTGAATACAATGCACATAAACATATTCGTGAACGTTTCGTACGATGCTAACCAACGACCAATGGCAAACGGAGCAACGAACTTGATCCATCCGAATGGGTACAGGTTCGTTTCAACAAACGTTATCAAATACATCAGTAAATAGTATGATCCTAACGCACAACCCACTCCAGCCCATAAAACGAACACAATAAAATAACGCTGAAATTCATTACGTATGTTGAGTAATGGTCAGTTCTTATCAAAAATAGAATGACGTGAAAATTTGGGCACTCAGAAAATTGACATAAATTAACGTTGGACCGGGCGATGATTCGTTCAGAAATCACAGTAAAAATAGTGATAACGGACCTGATTAGCGATACCAACACAACCACCAGTCATGAAACAATGATGATCTTTTCGAAGAACACACATCTGACATAATTGACAGTGATGACTTCTTAATGGTGCCATCCGATCACATTCCATACAATATTTACCTCGTGAAAAGTTCTGCTTATCTCCTTCATTTACCAAACACCTCGTTGACCAACGTTGTGGATCATTTCTTCTTCAATTAGTTTTCATTTCAATGATCAGAAACTATTCTCGGTCTGTTATAAGTCATTAACAAACATATCGTTTCAACGATTTTATTAACCAAAACATCATTTATAGATCAGTGAATTATAATTGGCAATTCTTGCACTATATTCATAGAACATTTATACTGCTGAACAATATGATAGTCACTAGTTGCCGAGCAACAGAGCAACAACTGAACATTTACAGAGCAG